ATTTCTCGAAGAAATATATTCCTCATGTCTTCTCATTGTCTCCTTCCTGTCCTTCCATAACCAAAGAATATGTAACTAAACAACCAAAACAGCCAAAGACTGTGGAAGAAATTTCTTGTAGAAATAAAATAACTTTGGAACAGAAATGAAACTTAGAGAAGGATACTCAAAGAGATTTATAAAGAAGGTGGGGACGATGCTGACGAATTTAAATATAAAAATATAACATTGCTCTAAATATAACAATAATTTGATTAAAATTGTTGATTCGTATGTATTGTTACGTTTTTACCAATTAAACATAGAACCTATTCAAGTTCAAATAGAGATATCACTTTTGTAAGTCCCAAATAAGTAGCCGAAAAAAAAATTATAGTCAAAGTATTTGCCTAAAACTAAAATGAGTGGGCTAAACAGGCAAGACTAATCACTATTTTCAGTTTTCGATTTTTATCAATGAGATTAAAAATATTAAAATTACATCATCGAGAATCGAGTCTACGACTGTATCGTCATTAAATAAAACCTAGTGCGTTTGTTTAAATGGCTAAAAACAGTAAAGCTGAAAACACCGTAATGTATCATGTGATAAAATCATAGAGTTATCGCTGGATTCGATTGTGCCACCGCCCACCGGAGCATCGTTCATCCGTTTCTCCTGGAACAGCTGCTCGTTCACAGTGCGCTTCCGGAGATTATTTTTATATTGAACGACCTGGCCCTGGGATGAATTTCGAGCGTTGTGATAGACTCTGCAAAGCACTGCTGTTTCTAGTGTAGTGCCAGTGTTAGCAAACTCTCTCAGGCTGAGTCCGTGAGCTCACCTATCGGTCCGTGAGTAGCTGAAATATTCCGATAGAGGCACCCGTCACGTGCGGACGTGCTCATCGTCCACTCGATCGCCCGGTCTTTGTTCGCCCGGCTTTTGTTAGCCCGGCCATTGTTCGCGCGGCCTGTGTTCGTGATACATCTGCCGACCAAGTGTGTTTCCTGGAAGCTTTTATTTGTTTTGTTTTAGTTATTTTTGTGTTCGTGGAACATTTGCCGACAAAGAGTNCGCGATTCCGATCCGGTAGTAGATTCATTCGCGAAACAATTGCTCTTGAGTTGTTAGGTCTCCTTCGGAGGCGCTCGGGCAGTTGTTAGCAAATCCCACCCCTCTTGGCTGAGCCTTTGCTCGCCCACCTGTCCTGGTGAAACTGGAAAGGCCTTCGGGCCACCAGTACACTTTCAATCATAAAAAAAAAAAAAAAAAAAAAAAGAGTAGCTGAAATAGATCCTTAGGCTACCGGTGATTACGTAGGGTAAAGAATTACGAGATAATAGAGTGCTCAGCATTAGTATCAGCTTAGCTGTCCCTGAGCGACAAAGCCACTCCACACTGGCGAACTGCCTTCGACAGCAACGTGGATATTCACGTAAAACGCCTTTCCCACCTTTTAAATCGAAATCCATAAGTCTTTTGCGATAGAAATGTCTATGTCACAATACGGCCCAAAATCAGTTGGATATTCGACTATTATGAAACGATGTTATTCTTTCATCACCTCAGTATATAATCCGTAATTGAATTAGGGGTGACGGTGCACCTCCCACTTTACGCGTTCATACCGCCCGTGATCTTGACGTGTTCATGCGATGCATTGGTCAGCGCCAGTTTGATTGGGTCACTCCTTCGCACCTGTAAGGCCTAGTGACTTTCCTCGCCTTCTTGTACTTATATTTGCAGAGGTTCTGTGTTCACATGGATTAATTTTAGGCTTTATTGATTCATTTAAGAAATTACTATACTACGTTTTCGTTAGGAAATATGCCTTGATTAATTATTAAGAGATTAATATCAAAATGTTTTCTTATCATGTCTAGGACTCGTCAACATTATGAAAATAATCTTCTGAATGTTCATCGGTTTTAAATCGTAAAACGGGTGGGGCATCGCCTACCCCGCCCCAACCCCCGGCCTGACATTGACCCAAGGTTGCAACATAGTGCGTCATCCCAACCCCTCACTCCGACCCTCGTTGCACGTAGCACACCGCAATTCGATCTAACCGGATCGAAGGGGAAATTACAAGACTGAATTGGTTCGAATCATTTTAGGTGTTCACATTTTCATTTTCAATGTGATTTTCGATCATTTTGAATATATGAAATAATTTTTCGATTAAGGATCTAATTTCGTTTTCTTTTAATGTTTTCGTTCATGAAAAATATGCATCATCATCCACTGTACTCTTCAGATCTTGCGCCGACTGATTTATTCTTTTTCCAAATTTTTTATAACTTCTTGACAGTTAAATAAAATATCCGAGAGGATATTACTGGTGGTAGGACGTCTTGTGAGTCCGCACAGGTAGGTACCACCGCCACGCCTATTTCTGCCGTAAAGCAGTAATGCGTTTCGGTTTGAAGGGCGGGGCAGTCGTTGAACTGTTAAAAGTGAGACCGAGTCAGCAAGTGTTGGGTGGCTGCATTTATATTGTAGATGTTTATGGGCTCCAGTAACCACTTAATATCAGGTGAGCCGTGAGCTCATCCACCCATCCAAGTAATAAAAAAAAGGTAGTATAAAATATCTTGGAAGAGTTTGTTGGCTCCCGTACTCCTCGTGACTTATTCTTGGAAGCTATTGTGCAAATTACCACTGTGCTGCAGAGATACGTCGATACCGGTGCATATTTTGCTTGATTATGTAGGTAATTAAAAAAATGATACGTAAATAATGATAGCTTAACAATTACGTAAATAAAGACGTAATATTTTTGGTATTTTCATTCAATTTAGCTTTTTACGCTTGCGGCATCGAGTGGTAATAGATGATAGCTTACGGTCACAATTTTATTAGCATTGGATGTTTATACCGGTGACGACTACATTATTCTCTTACAAAAGCAGTTCTAGAGGTGACCGTTCGCGCTAACGTTATATCAATGTTTAAATGCGCATTAATCGTAAAGTTTTGTTTGTCGATAGGTTTGTTTCCTCTTTTAGTCTAATCAACAAGTTCAAAAACGTGAAAAATAGAGATGAAGGTCCTAAAAATATGAGCGATAGCTCATTGGATTCGGAATCACCTCTAGAAAAATGTTTTTGAAGGATTTTGGTGCAGGAAAAAAATTGCAATTGTTATTAACAAAATAAGAGATTTTGTAGTCGTCGTGGTCTAACGGATAAGACGTCCGGTGCATTCGTGTTGAAGCGATGCACCGGTGTTCGAATCCCGCAGGCGGGTACCAATTTTTCTAATGAAATACGTACTCAACAAATGTTGACGATTGACTTCCACGGTGAAGGAATAACATCGTGTAATAAAAATGAAACCCGCAAAATTATAATTTGCGTAATTACTGGTAGTAGGACCTCTTGTGAGTCCGCGCGGGTGGGTACCACCACCCTGCCTATTTCTGCCGTGAAGAAGTAATGCGTTTCGGTTTGAAGGGTGGGGCAGCCGTTGTAACTATACAGCTCGTCCACCCATCTAAGCAATAAAAAAAAAAAAAGATATTTAGTTTTTCGTTAATAACTCTAAAAATATTAATATCTAAGGAACTTTGAAAAAGCCGCTCGGTAGGCTGTGGCTTGGCTCTGTCACTGGCATTGCTGAAGACCATGGGCGACGGTGACCACTCACCATCAGGTGGGCCGTATGCTCATCTGTCTACAAGGCCAAAAAATATATATAGTATAAGTATGGATATCAGTCTCTGGTTCGGTTAGTACAAGGAATCCTAGCTTAAGACCATAATAGAACATTATAGATTTTATATTAATTTATTAAGTAATCTGTGCTTTTTGAACAACGTAGGTATGAAACGTTCACAAAACAGGACTTTATTAGAAACATTTGTCAAAGGCTTAATCGCGAGGGCATCGAAAATAATCGGTAGATACCTACATTTATTTGTCACAGAAATTGACTGACCACGGTCTATACAAATTAAATGTCAGCTAAAGTAAGTAAGTATTTTGGTGGATTTATTTGCGAATTTAATTAACATAACGCATAAAGCAGTGAAAAATGCTTGTGACAACCCTTGACTGATGGTTTAGGGGATTTAAGTAGTGCACTGATCGGTGGATGTTTAAGAACTTAACTGTTCATGAACTTCTTCCACCATGAAGGATGAACATCGTGGTATAAAAATAAAAAGCAAACCACCAAAAAATATAAATTTGCTTAATTATTGGTGGAAGGGAATGGGTAGATCCTCCTCCTATTTCTGCCGGAATGCAGCATAACCTTGTGGTAGGAAGGGTGGGATAGCTCTTATATTTTGACCTCGCGTCACAAGGTGGGTGGCGGCATTTATCTTGTGATGCTTAAGGACTTTAAGCAGTAGTCAATAGCAGCTTCGCGTCAGGTGGGCCATGAGCTCCTCTGACAGACAAGCCGCCCTTAATTTTTCACCATATTTTAATATTAATATCACTCTATAAAAGTTTCAGCAACTAATTAAATGGTGAATCTGTGTGAGACTGTGTCATTTCGAGCGCTCGAATTTATCAACTAAAGAAAATTGATGGCTGTCTCCGAGGGTAAGAACTTGCGAACTGAGATCGACCTCGAGTGTAATTTGAATTTATAGCTAAAACATTTAATGTGGTCGCAGTCATAATTAGATTTAAGAGATAGTTAAATTTAATTGACCGTTGTGACTAATTAACAGATAATTTGTAGAAAGATATCTGAATTTGTCTATGAGCACGTTTAAGTATGATGTGTGATGACGATAACAACTACTGTAATGGAAAAACTTATTATGTACAATAAATGTAAGATGAAGATGAAAAATGATAAGTGGATAAAATTTTGATGATAACAGTTAATTGGCATATGATTGGTATTTATACAATGTAATATGTACCTAACTGAAAGTTGAATGCTTCCCACTGAAGTAGGAAACCTAATGCTTCCCAAATTAAAAGCAAAATACAAATCTGTCAGTTGTCAATTTAGTATATAATTGTCAAAGTTGACTTCAACTTCCAAGACTCAAGTCAAAGTGACAACTGAATGAACGAAGTGACTCAAGTTAGAAATCTTGGTATTGCTCCCCTGGCGAAATTCTAAATGAATTTTGCAATGTTTATGTGTTATTGAGTGTAACTCATGGTATGACGTGTGAAAATGACTTCGAAGAGTAAGAATGCCGTGCGTGGTTTTGAAACAGAGATCGACAAAAGTCGAGAGGAGGCCAACTGGAAAAAGGCTGTGGAGTTAGCTCAACAACTTAAGTCTAGATCACCTCAGCATGGTAAGAGCTCAAAGTGCTCATTTCAATAAATTCCCAGCTAATGCCATTTCATAATAGTAATATTAGAGGCAATTTCTTTTTACAAAAGGCACTTTTTTGGTTTATATTTTTACTGGAAGCCAATAATCTTATAATGAAAACCATCACACCTTCTTCATTAATTACACTTTGTCTAGAATTGCTTAATTATTATTTTATTTCAAAATAAGGAGATCTAGTATAAACAACTTCTGAAGGGTTCAAAGTTACCTGTTTTAACAGTTGGTATTTAACAATGCAAAAGTTACATTAAGCAGATTATGTTTATAATACTGGTGTTGTTTTTATATTGGTGTCACTTAATAAGATCAATACAGATAATACATTATTACCTAGTTCCTATCCTCTTTTTAGTATTGGTGGCTATAGTATATTGCCTTAAGCTCACAAGTGTTTGCATCTTCCTAGAGTACCAAAAAGTATTCTGCTGTTAAGTAACGCTGAGTTTTGCAAATCAGGCTTGGGAATTTTATGTTCAATTAGTAAATAACTTTTTATTAATAAATTTAATTTTACTGGTGGTAGGGAGGAGTATGAGCTTGCACAGGTAAGTACCACTACCTTGCCTATTTCAGCTGTGAAATAGAAATGTGTTTTGGTATGAAGGGTGGACCAACTGTAGTATCATAAAACACTGACTATAGAATTCATGTCTTGAGGTGGGTGGTGGCATTCATGTTGCTGGTATCCAAGGGCTCTGGCAACCACTTAACTCCAGGTAGACAGAGATCTCAACCACTAATCTAAGTAGTAAAGAAAACCTTAGTTATACATCAATATTTAGAGTCACAGTGTTTTATATTTTGATGTGTTTTGTTACTGATTTTTTCAAATCAAATCAAATCAAAAAAGTTTTATTCAACATAAATGAAAGTACATGCTTGTTGAACGTCAAAAGAATTACCGCCAATTCACAAGAATTAGCCTCCGTCCTGAGAAGAATTGGCAAGAAACTCAGCGGGCATGTTTTTTTTTTTTTTTTTTTATTAGTTTTNCCAAGTCATCTTTATCTTGTCAGGGGCATTTTTGATTAAATCACTTAAATGTAAAGATTTTGCCGCTAAACAAACTTTTCTAAATAGTTTGGAATAGTTCCTGACATATTGATGAAATGTTTCATCATTATTATAAGCTTTTTCAGAGTACAGATCATACAATTTTTTTCTACTTTTGTACACTCCGGTGGTGGCCCACTTGCTGAACACCGTTTTGTTTTTTTTTTCCTGTAAAGATGCTAAAAAATCAATTCAAATTTGTTTGTTTACAACACATACACACACTAGTAGCAATTATTAGTAGTTACAAAATAACAAACACAGACATGAACTAGCACATGGCCCACCTGGTGCTAAGTGCTTGCCACTGTCTACTGTGAGACTTAAGGCTTATCACATTTTCATGTATATTTTTATTGTATAGTTGTGCTCTTCTCAAGACATCAAGGCTGATTTTTGATTACAAAGTACATAATCACATGCTGTTAAAAAATAAAATAACAGATACAGTGTGAAATATGAATGTTTCGAAATTTAGTTCAAAAAGTGTCTTGTTTGATCTTCTTTGTTTACTGAACTATAAATTTTATCTTCACAAAGATAACAACGTAATAATAAATGTCTTTTAGTATTTAAATAGTTTTGAATCTTTTATTTTACATAAAACAGTGAACTCATTTAATTTTATAGCTGGTTGCTCCAAGTTGTTTTTGTTTAGTGGTACAATGAATGAAGCATCACATGGTTTGTGAATATAAATAATAATTATTAATAATTTTAAAACATCAGGCTTAAAGAAATTTGGTCCCCTACTCTCGTTCTGTGAACTGTTTTATGAGTGTACCATAGTCTGTTTTACTGTAGTCCACATATATTATAAGAGTGTCTGCCATTCTCCAGTCTGCTATTATTTTGCAAAAATAAGATACTTTACTATTTTTCCTTTATAGTATGAAGGGTAAACTGACTGGTGTACATTGCTGTAATTATGTTTATTCTAATACAAATATTAAATCTTAATTTCAGAAAGTCTAGCACATTTCTTAATAGGAGAAGGAAAGCTCGAGGCATACCTTGATGAGTGGCCTCCCATCAAAGAAAACATAGAACGAGCTCAAAGGGAGTTGTCTGAAGCCCGAGGTTATCTAACCTTAGCTACAGATGAAGCGGGGAAGAAGGCAGGAGTGGCATTAGACGCTCAGTTGTTATTAGGAAAATTGAACTATGCTTGTGGGTCATATGATGAAGCACTCAAACATTACAAATTGGCTGAATTAAACACTTTGACAGAGAAGGAGCTACCTGTGTGAGTTTCATTTTGTATACATTTTATATTAGCAATAATGGTATCCATGGGGTAACTAGATATGGATAGATAAGTCTTAGAAGTGTTAAAGGCTACCTTTAGGTTTTAAGTTGAAATTAGAAATTAGAACTGTTTTAAAGTTACCAATAACTTCATAACAAAATTGGCATTTGAGCTGTACACAATGTGTATAACAGTGTAGGTTACAATAGTGTCTACAAAAAAGTATTTGTTGAATAACGCCAATGAAAACATATTGCTAATTATTTTTCATTAAAAATAGTTTTACTGTAATCAGCTGACCTATTTCTCAAATAGGTTTTTCAATCAAAGAAAAATTCTGAATGTCCATTGATTGTTCGTCTGCAGGGCTCATAAACAGTGACATTCAAGTTGTGGTGTTTGTTTGCTCACATAATGAGCTTAACACTAATGTACGTATGGTGACTCTGCTTAGGAAAATAAATTAATTAAATATATTTTTTACTTGAACAGACGAAGTCTGCGCATAGTGGCAGAGTCCTATGCTATAAAAGGTTTCTGCCTGGAACAGAATGCTGTACCGAGTTCAACGAGTCGTTATAAGCAAGCCGAGAGGGAGGCTGAGATGGTAAGGAATGGTGCCACATAGTTGCTAAAATCATTTGTTTGTTAGTATAGTGAATAATTAACGATCAACAAATTCAAAGAGCAATTTAACATTCATTGCTTCTATATTTGTTAATTTGTTTTCTGAAACATGAATCTTCTAATGTGAATGACGTCATTTGTGAGTACCACAACGTGCCATAATCGACCCAGTCACCTTAAACATGCCTCCAAAGTTTCAGTTGTATTTTATTTTGGTCGACACACGATTTTTTGCTAGTTGCTCTCCATACTTTAGTTAATTTCTTAGGCACCGAGATAAAACCAAGGTTGATTTTTCAAGGGTTTCTTCACATGATTTATTTAAACACTGAAAAGTTGCACCAGTTAGATGGACTTTTTTTATTTATTGCATAGATGGTTGATCGAGCTCACGGCTCACCTGATGCTAAGTGGTTACCGAAGCCCATAGACATCTACAACGTAAATGCCGCCACCCACCTTGAGATGTGAGTTCTAAGGTCTCAGTATAGTTACAACGGCTGCCCCACCCTTCATAGTGCTTGCAAATGCTTGCAGATTCGCTGTTTCGAGCTAGCTTCCGACCTGACCCTGCTGTACCTACAACGCAACAGCTCAGCGCGTGCCGGCCCCACGCTGGAGACGGCCCTGCAGCGCGCCCCCATCCTGCACATCCGAGCCGGCCGGCTGCATAGCGCCATCGACAGGTAACGCTGAGCCGCGTCTCTTGGAATGTGTGAAATGTGTGTAGTGTTCAATATTTGTTTACTTTAACAGATACCGTGAAATGTTGACCGCAGTAGAGTCTGTCTCCACTCAAGCTTTGAGGCTGACCCTCACAAGGCAGCTGGCGGAGGTGCTCCTCAGAGGGGTCACGGGACAGGTATGTGATGTCATCCATCAATGAAATTAGTATTAAAGATGATACTTTGAACATTGAATCCATTACTATAAAATGATCAGTTGACGAACAGAGGAGAAATGGGGACTAAACCGTTTTTCCTATCTTATATTATACATTTCATAATGTTGTTAATTAATATGTGACCATTACAGGTGTACAAGCCACCGGTGGCCGTGGCGCCGGCCCAGGGCACCCTGACGAGGAGGAGAGAGGATCATGTCTCCGAAGGACCGTGGAAACCAAAGAAGTATGCCGCTTTAAATCAGGTCAGCAGTTTCTTCCTTCTCCGTCTTCTTTTTTAAGTACGTCAATCGGCTTCTTCTTATATCTTTCTGGCCAGTGTCAAGTTTATAAAAATTTTCAATTATTAAATACATACATAATATGTTATACAAAAAAAGATATGAAGCAAAATGAGATGAAGTTGATTAATGTGAGGCTTTAATCAATTGGGATGAAATAGAATTTTAGTATTATGTTATTCAGTGAACTTTTTGGAAGAACCTGAGAAACTATACTTTTGGGTTACTACTGTAGATGTTGTTACCAATTGTGACGTCAGTAATAAAGAACTACTACACAGTAATGAAGACACCGTTTATTCCGTAAGATGGTACATGTGCTTACATAAAGACCGGCGCCGGGCAACTGGTGCAGCGTAATGCAATAATTGCATGCGCAAGCGCTTACGTATCCCTACATATACTAACTGTGCTGAGTCCATATCTAGTAGCTTTGTTTCATTTTCCTAGATTTGTGCACTTCCACAGACACTAAACAGTAAATAAATCAAACAAATCAAGACAAAGAATTTCAAACATTATGTTGGTCAGAGCCGGGCCGTTGTTAGACGTTCTGTTGTGTTTATTCCGCGCACTACATCACGTGGCTTAGTTGAAGGCGAGTGTTGTCGTGTGCAGTTCGTGCCGCGCAACGAGCACGAGGAGGTGCTGGTGCTGGTGCTGGTGGGGGAGGCCATGGCGGCGCGGGACGGGGTGCTGTCCCAGAGCGCAGAGTTCGCCGCCGCCCGGGACCACTCGCTGCACACCGCGCTCGCGCTCATCGACCTGCTGGCGCTCGCCGCCCTGCGCTGGGGGCTGCGCCCGCTGGTGCTGGAGGTGACGCAGCCGCCACGCCCTTAATGTCGTCGGGGCACAAATATATGATACTTAATTAAATGTTTGTTCTCATGCCACCAGTCGTTAGAACGCGCCATGAAGTTCTCGTTCGGGTGCGCGCACGTGTGGCGGCAGCGCGCCCTGGCCGCGCACGCACACGCGCAGGCGCACGCGCAGACGCACGCGCAGGCCGACGCTCGGCCGGGCGGCGGCGCGTGGGACGCCAGCGTGCGGGCGCGCGCCGTGTCGCAGCGAGCGCGCCCGCTCGTGCCGCACGACGCCGCGCTGCGCCTGGTCACCGCCAGCACCGACTACAGCACGGGCTGGGTGGGTGAGCGTGTTGCGTGCGATTTGAGATGTGCTTATCTAATAAAGAACACCATCTCAGTTAATGTTTATTTGATATTATTCATCTGCAGTAAGAGAGGGCCACAGATATTTTCCCTTTTCATTCTAAAAGAATGATGTTCTTCCGCATGTGTTTCCTATGTAACCTCAGCCGGCACGGCCTCGTGCTGTGGCACGGGAGTGCCGCCACCCCCGCGCGATTCGGCCCTGTCCATCCGCCGTTTTCTTGTAAGCTTGTGTGTATAACAGCAAGGTATGTTGTTAGATAGAGGAGGGTATAGCCATGGCGGAGGAGGCCCTGGCCATAGAGGAGGAGCAGCAGGGTCCGCTGCTGGCCCGCTGCTGTCTGTACGCCGGGATCGGTTACCAGATGAAGGCCCAGGTGAGCCAAGTTCCTGCCACAAAAAGTAAATCTCAGTAAATTTCCTGTCATATTGTAGTTTAGTGAAATCTATGTTTTTTTGTTTATAGTTTATAGCGAATTCACTCGTTATCTCCTGTAGTAAAACTTTCCTAGTTTGAAGTCGGGTGAAAACCACTCTTCACTCTTTGAGATCTGCAGCAGAACTATTCCCCCATGAAACTGTGACGTCTGACAACGCTGCCGGTCTGGGCACATTGAGTCAATTCATTTATGTAGAATTTACGTCCCTCAGAAAACGAATTATCGTCTAGACAAAGAAGCGGCTAACGAGACGTCCCTGAAGTACCTGGTGAGGGCGGCGCAGCTGGACCCCAACGACCACCTGGCGTTCTACCACCTCGCGCTGCAGTACATGGACATGGGGATGCTCAACGAGGCGATGGTACGTGGCGGCCCCCGCGGCCACGGCAGTCCGACTCAGGGACCAGAGCAGCAACTAGAGCCTCAGCAAAACTGACAACTATTGAACTGTTACTTCGAAACCATTCGTTTTTTGTTAAAGTCACCTTATAGATGACAGCTATTTGCTTTAATTACATAGAATCCATCTCTCGGATTACTTTCCAAATAAAAGTGACCATCTGCCATGAGTGATTTCGAATAACAGTCATCTTACTGTTGTAACTTGTGGCCACGACGGTCCAACGTCGCGACCGCGGGCCGGCAGTGCCCGTAGCCACACCCGGCCCCCCGCGCGGTCCCCCCGCGCCCGCCGCCAGAGGATAGTGGACTCTGCGGCTCCGTATCATAGGTCATTCTGATTGCGCGTGCAGGATGCGACGCGATCCTGTCTGGAAGCGCGTGCTGAGTGCAGTGGCGCGCTGATAGTCGCCGCCAAACTGTGGTCCTGCGCGTGCGCCGGCCGCAGGCAGACGCGCGCACTCAGCGCCGCCGCCCTCGCGCGCACGCACGCGCCGCACTCCCAGCACGCGCTCGCCACGCACGCCGCCCTGCAGCTGCTCTGGGACACGCCCGAGGTTAGTGCTCACGGGTACTCACGCACTGTGCGCCGCCGCACCGCACTCCCAGCACGCGCTCGCTACGCACGCCGCCCTGCAGCTGCTCTCGGACACGCCCGAGGTTAGTGCTCACGGGTACTCACGCACTGTGCGCCGCCGCACCGCACTCCCAGCACGCCCTCGCCACGCACGCCGCCCTGTAGCTGCTCTGGGACACGCCCGAGGTCAGTGCTCACGGGTACTCACGCACTGTGCGCCGCTGCGCCGCAGTCCCAGCACGCCCTCGCCACGCACACCGCCCTGCAGCTGCTCTGGGACACGCCCGAGGTCAGTGCTCACGGGTACTCACGCACTGTGCGCCGCCGCGCCGCACTCCCAGCACGCCCTTGCCACGCACGCTGCCCTGCAGCTGCTCTGGGACACGCCTGAGGTCAGTGCTCACGGGTACTCACGCACTGTGCGCCGCCGCGCCGCACTCCCAGCACGCCCTTGCCACGCACGCTGCCCTGCAGCTGCTCTGGGACACGCCCGAGGTCAGTGCTCACAAGTACTCATGCGGGCTGTGCGCTGCTGCCCTCGGGCGCCTCCTGCAGCTATTTTGTAACGAGTTCAATGTGAGTAGAAATTGTAAAATCAGTTGACTTATATATTTCCCAGGCGGCCCTCGCGACGGGCAAGGAGCTGCTGTCCCTGTTTAGCTGCGACGCGGAGGCGGACGCGGAGGCGGGCGGGCGCGCGGAGCTGGACGCGCTGTCCGACTCGCAGCAGGACGACGCGCAGAGCGCCCGCGCCGCCGGACACTGTAGGGTTACACACCAGCCCGTAGTCATAACGGGGCACGATCAACTCTCTCGTTCAGAATACTGTAGCAAATTTAAAGTTGATACGTAATCTTGAAAATCCTCTTATAACGGTGTCAGCAAAGAGCTGGCTTGTCTTAGGCGGGCAGTGGAGGTCGCGGCCGGATCGGTGCAATAGGAGCCCATGGACATCACGATGTGGATGCGTCGCCCACATTGAAATGTGAGGGCGAAGTCTTAGGTATGCTATGGCTATTCCAGGCTTCACACTCGAACGTTTGATGGCTTTGTAGTTGTAGCAGACCGCATGGTGAACACGTTCGTACTCACAATAAATACTGCCTGCCGATTCATTTTTGAAAATACCAAATATCTTAAACCTAGATAGATACAGATTCTGATCTGGAATAAATCTCGCCTTAAACACTAGCGTATCTAGATGTAGAGGGGCAGGGACGGTTCATGGGGCTGAATGGTTGTGTCCCGCAGCGTCGGTGCGCGCGGAGATGGCGGAGGCGGGCCGCGTGGAGCGCGCGCTGTGCTCGGGCGCGTCGGGCGCGTCGGGCCGCGCGCCGCCCTCCGCGCGGGCGCAGCACCGGGCGCGCGCCTGGCTGCTGCTCGCCGACATCTGTCTGCGGTGCGTACGGGCCGCGCCCGACATCAGCTCAAGTGTAACCCTACCACGAACAACTAGGAATTGTCTGCTCTCGTGTCCAGGTTGGACCGAGTGAGTGCGGCCGCCGGCTGCGTTGCTGAAGCGGCAGCGCTGACGCCGTACAGCCACCTAGTTTTTTACACGGTAAGCCACCCCACGGCTCGCCGCCGCGGCCCCCACGAGTAGCTACCGGAGTGGACCGCCGTGCAACTTTGAGGGCGAAGACTCCATTGTAGTGCCTAGTATATTTGTGAACTTCACGTTACGAATGAAGCACGGCGGTATGAACGGAGAGGTAGAGATAGAAGGGCATGAGTTCGTCCCCCGACACCGCACTAGCCGCCCCCCTAGCACGGTGGTTCGGCGCCCCTCCCCTAGCATGGCGGTGCGGCGCCCCCCCCCCTAGCACGGCGGTGCGGCGCCCCCCCCCCTAGCACGGCGGTGCGGCGCCCCCCCCCCCTAGCACGGCGGTGCGGCGGCCCCCAAGTAGCGCGGTACTGATGGCGTGTCGTGTCGGCAGCGCGGGCTGGTGCACGCGGCGAGCTCGGAGTGGCTGGAGGCGCGGCTGTGCTTCCAGAACGCGCTCGCCATACATCCCACGCACCTCGATAGTCTGCTGCATTTAGGTAACGCATTTGACTATAGTAGAATTATTTTGTCCCTGCAGTTTGGGTCATAAAAAATCGGAGCGGTGAAGCGAGTATTTCGCTTTCTCTTCCACTCACGAGCCTTATGGACGGGCATAGTGATGCGCGTTATTGTTGTCAATAAGCGTTATCGATAGTGTATTTAGTTTTGTCATTCTGTGGGTTAGAGATAAAAATGAAAGAAAAAATCACAAATCGAACCCACACCACATATCGCCGCAGCAAGTTAACACTTTGTAACTTTTCGGGATTTATTCTTATTCCAGTGAAATTTTTTAACATATTGTTGATTGACACGTGCAAATATTATTTTGAATAAATTCAGCCGTTTTGATACAAAACAAAGGAGTAGCCATTGTGTCACTAAAGAAATTCAGAGAACAAATGCATAAAAACACATTTCTCTTCGACATAACGTACAATAACTTGCAGGTAACAACAAATTACTCATAACATAACAATGTCTCACCACCCTTTGTATACCGCCCCGCCGCCACTTACCTGCCTTCGATGATTCATTTGTTTTTATTGATAATGGCGTTGCGCCCGCGCAACATGCTCACCGCCCTAGCCGGGCTATGTTTTATAATCCAAACTGCAGCCACAAAATAATTCTACTATACTACAGTATTGGATATATTTAATAATAAATTCGAAGTCCATTTCCCACATACTCGGGTTCAAATTGTAGAACTATTTCAAGGAACGGCCTAACTGAATACAGAAAATTTTAATGCAAAGCAATTATTACAAATGTACTAATATTTTTGAAGTTATACTTCTTTAGGCGCGTTATGAAAAATTGATGAGAGTGAAATTTTACGATGCGCGCGCACCGTGACACAAAGTTAACAGAATGAAGTTGCCCACTAAATCGCTCATTACAATACGACCGACGTAGTTTGGCGAGTCTGAATATAGCCGCAGGTGAACTTTCGCGCATGTACACTCGTAAAAAAAACTGTTATTAGCATTCATTTTTTAGTAATATAAATGACAAAATTATTATTTAATATAATTCATACTAAATATTATTAAATTATTAACTTTAAATATTTATTATTAATTATTTAATTTAAAAAAAAAGAAATAAAGTTAATAAAAATAAAGTATAACTTCTTACGCGCGTACATAAGTACACCCTTTTTAGGTAACATTTTTACCTTTGCTTTTCTCGAATGACGACATCATTGGCTTTATTCAGACTCTTTAGCCTATATTGTTATATACTCTGTGTACCGCTCAACTGTCAGTTTTTTCTTGTTGTTAACGTCAGAACAATTCTCTAATCTCAACTTAAAGCATAAAACTTGCTATCGATATGTTGTAAGACAATCCTACCTAGCCTTCTGAAATATAATGTTTGATTGATTAGTTATTAAATAAACGGGTGGCGTTAATAGAAGGAATAAAAGAGTGTAATTGGTTTAAATAACGCTCATTTCGTTTACTGATGTCCAGTGGTCTATATAATTTTGTTGAAAATTTACATTTTATTGTTTCTCAAAGATAAATTTAAAATGCATCTTGTAAACGACTATCTGTCTACGTGTAAACTAAAGACGGTTTGGTCTGTGGTCGCCGTCCAGGCGAGGCGTACTACCGGCTGGGCTGGCTGGGCCTGGCGGAGAAGGCGGTGCGCGAGGGCGCGGCGCTGCAGCCCGGGCGCGCCGACGCGTGGGCTCGCCTGGCGCGCGTGCTGCACGCCGCCGCCGACCCGCCCGCCGCCGCCGACGCCGCCATCGCCGCGCTGGCGCTGCACGCGCGCCGCCCCGCGCACCTCTAGCGCGCCCCCGCACCTAAACTATAACCATCTTTATTAGTCAATTATTTTTATATTCAAATAAAATAATAATGAGTTGTTGATTGATATAATATTCCTTTATTATTCTTTTTATTTAATTGAACAAAAAGCATTATTACAAACATTTGTATCGGCACCGACCGCGCGAAGCCGGGGTACGGGTCGGGGAGGGTTGGGGAGGGGCCGCAAGCACAGACAACACAAGGAGTATTTGTACTGACGAACACAACAAGTGTCACTGGGTGGTGGTGCGGTGGCCGCAACAGCCATGCCTTCCAGCTCAATGGGATATCACCCGATACACTTGAGATCTCGAGGCAGTTCCTCCTGTGAACCTCAACGTAAGAAGCACTCAACGCCGTCAGGTCGCCACACAAAGTGCCACAGAGCAATAAAAAAAGTGTAAAACCAAACTGAATATTCAAAAGCTCCTGTAAAAAACAGTGTCGGCGCTCACAAGTGACTCCCGCGACTCCCCCGACAAGCGTGGTGGTAGAAGTCTTACAGGAATTGATGGATGGTGGACTAGGGGCGACGGGGGTGGGGGGGGGGGGGAAGAGGAGGGTGGGGTTAGGATTAGTAAGTGGGTGAATGCACTTGTACGGTACCTATAACGTCAAGTTTATTTCATTCTCTTGTTCTGGACGTCTGTGTCATCCGTGACTGTAGCAATTCTAAACTTGTATAAATATGTGTCAGTGTACTAATCACAGTTACTATTTTCATACAAAGCTACTCTATTTTTTTGTTGATATTTAAAATAAATATTACGGTGTATTTATGAGATATTTGTACAAAATTTGGTATTATTGTAGTAGTGTACTTATGAATAATCACGATATGTAAATGTAGATATAATAAGTAATGTTTCTAAATATGTTGTGCAGTGTAATCTACCTAATTAACGTTCGTTCGTTCGTTGTCTTGTTGTTGTAAATAAATAATAAAATATATACTTACCGTGTTACGCAAATGGCTGTTTTATTTATGTCCGAGGACAGAACGTGTTAGAGAGTATATTAAACATGACAATAACACTGTTTCCTAACGTACAACAATATAGTAATTAACCCTTTGACTGCCATGAAGGTTACCGGTGCTCTACATCATCTATGCTAATATTATAAAGCTCAAGAGTTTGTTTGTTTGAACGCACTAATCTCAGTCACTTATCGAATTCTTTCAGTGTTAGATAACCCATTTATTGAGGAAGGCTATAGGCTATATAACATCACGCTAAGACTAACACAAGCGGAGCACCAATAAAGAATGTTTCAAAATCGGGATTTTTTTCCCTTCTGAGAACTTCCGCTGATTGCGCTGCAGAAACGGTTAAAGTTTCGCTAAAATAATGTTTGACAGAATTGTTCCCTTTTAAAAGATCTAAAAAAAGTGCATATGTCTATATGTTAAGGTTGGCTTACTATAATGTTTTTTTATGCTAACTAAATTTATTCTAAAATAATGTATTATTTGTGAACTATTCCAAGCGGACTTTTTTTTTCCTACCTATGCTGATAGCCTTGAGAGGCTATTTTAGCTTCGCCCTAACGTTTGTAGGTGAGCTCGCGGGGCTCAACCGGAGAGTTGCTAACACTGACCCTAGCAAGAGCAGTGCTTCGCATAATCTACCACCGGATCGGAAACGCGACCCACTGAGATGGTCGGGCGAGAAACTCAGTGGGCTGTGTCTATGGGTTAGTTCGCTCGTCGAGCCCTTCATCGCAAGCGACGGGTTCGACGAGGACGGTGACCGGGCAAGCGGACGAAGTCGCGGGCAAAAGCTAGTAGATTATACACTTAATGTTTGACTCTACGTGACGCACTGAAGTATATTAATTAGGTATGTCGATTCTTGTCACTAAGGCGCCGGAATATCTCGTAGATTCTGGGAAAGACGAATCCGAAGCTACTGCGGATGAATCTAAATCTAATCTAAGAGACCTAAAATACTAAAACAAACATTAACAAACAAAGTTTAGCAATCCAGGCGCTTAGTAGCAGAAATTGACATAATTACTTGAGTGCGCCGCGTAGGGCATCGGTGATCTACACGGCTGTTATAGGGTTAACAACACTTGCAAAATTTATTCTTAAATCAATTCAATTATTGATGTAATTTTCAATGATTGTTCAGTATAATTGTCGCGGCGCCGGAAGGACTGGGTAATAAACTGGCGTACTAATTTTACCATCTAGGATTTGCTAGTTGGCAGGGTGTTTGTAATCCCGCACGGGTAGGTACCGGCGCCGCGGCGTCCTGCTTGCTTTTGGCGCGAAGGTATTGTTTTTCCTACCTATTTTAGTAACCTCGAGGGGCTATTCTAAATTCGCCGACCTAGTAGGTGAGCTCACGGGGCTCAAACCTGATGACGTTGCTATCAAGAATGACCGGTGCTTGAGGTAGAGGTAGTAGGTAAGAGCACCGATGGACAGCGGCATTAACGTTGCGATGTTTATGGACTTGGTAATCATTTAACATCAGGTGGGACGTGAACTCGTTCATCTATGAACACAATTAAAAAAAAATTTTTGGAAATTAGATGTTCAAAGATCTGTTTAGCGTTAACCAGATACTAGTCGATACTAGAGTCCGTGATGATGAAGTCGTAACTTTGGTGCTAGTCGTGATGATGCAAACCAAAACATGAGTTATTATACCTACTTCATACTTATTAATAGGTTTGTCTCGTCTACAATCAAAATGGCATCACGTGTCTTATTATAAAGTCTAAACAACGAACAAAAACTCAAGAGGCCGAAGCCTTTTTTGTTATTTGTTAAAAAAATGATTTGCCATAGCTTTTTTCAACGGAGTAGTGAACGAAATCAGAGGTCGTTGATCGTCGAGTGGCATGACGGTGCCACGGGCGCCTAGTCAAACTCGATTTAGGGCTGACAAATTCATATAATAGTCGTGTCTTAATACGAAGGAGCTTGGTGGTCTGATGCTGGAGTCAAAAAAATAAATAAAAAATAGCTTTGGCCTTTCACGAGTCGTCTTCGAAAAATTTAACAAAGGGAAGACATGTCTTCAAGAGCTAATCCTGCTATGTAGAAATTACATAATATCATTGACTTAGTATTATTTTGCATACTTCTGGTGCGAAGTCGTCTCGCGTGATTCCACCTCAAGTTTCAAGAGGTACGAGACTGACTTGACCTTCTAATACTACTACTACCCTATAATCTGCCCGTACTGCGCCTTACTTCCCAACTTAACTGGAAATTTCCTTTTCATTTATGTGTCAAGCACTGGTGGAGCGTGTTGCTCCCAGTCTGGGCCGTGATCTAAACCTGTTTTGCAGGGCAACCTGTGAAGGGAGGACAGACATCTTCACGACGCGACTCTGCATCTGAGGACTGCGTAAATGGATGAACGAGCGGACCCTTCTGGTGGTGACTGGTTACTGGTGAAAACACCTCACCAATACCGCCACGCACCTTGAGACATGAATTAATGTAAGTCAGAACGCGTGATTGCGTCACGCCTGAAATAGGTAAGTGGAATTCACGCGTGTGGATCTCAGTACACCGGTATAATGCTCAGAGAATGCTACTGGTCATTTCTAGTGAATTAATTAGTTGACTTTTTCGAAAACTACGGGTAGAGATGGGAGGTAGTGATATTTTGGACCTACACCGTGCAGCCATATTTTTGAAGAATTATTTGGTGTTGATATCGTCTTCGTATTTTTATCACCTCGCCACTCAGCTGAGTTTATACCTCTGTAAAAATCCATGGTACGTTTGCAGAGATCATATTTTATTCCAGCACCTTTGCGTCTTCAAATAGAAAAAAATGTAAATTCATCAGCCCTATTCGACTTGTGACGTGAGCACATGACACGGTGTTACGCGTACTGAGCCTCCACAGAGTTATGGAACAATGTATTTATCCGTATTTATGCGCTTGATTTAACGATAATTAGATAAACTTCGCTGATTTCAAATACCCACTATGAATTCAGAAACATGTAAAATGGCATGTTAGTTAGTTCGGATAGTTGGACCTATAATGATCTTGTTAATAGTGACAGTCAATTGCTCACTTGTTACCGCTATCTAATATTTTGGATAATCCGAATTGCACAAAGCAATATGCACGTTCTCATGACTAACAGACACGCCGGTCACGACTTTAATTCTCTTAAAATAATTTAATTCATATTTTAACCTTTCCTTTTTGAATCAGTATGATTGAGCGAACTCATCTAACTATTTGCAAATTTCGTAACTCATATTATACAATCTAACAAAGAGTATTGTGACCATAGATTTTAGATTTGATGGTTTGTCATTTTCATAACTCGTGGGATTCTTTCAGGTTTCTGCTGTTCGCTAATCTCATTCTCACAGACCGTTTGGAATACTGTGTTTACGGGGCATTTCGGTTCTCTCCGTGTTTTCTACCGTATATGACCTACATGGCCCTGGAATGAATTTCTTACCAGGGTGATTTCTGAGCACTATGACATTTCCTTCTCAAATCTAAGTTCTCGAGGAAAAAAATAAAAAATAAAGAAAAGTCATCATTATGTTTGAAGTATTAAAATATGTTTTTTTTTCTATTGCTTATATGTGTGAACGAGCTCACAGCCCACCTGGCGTTAAGTGGTTACTGGAGCCCATAGACATCTACGACGTAAATGAGCCACCCACCTTGAGACATCAGTTCTAAGGTCTCAAGTATAGTTACAGCGGTTACCCCACCCTTCAAACCGAAACGCATTACAGCTTCACGGCAGAAATAGGCAGGGCGGTGGTACCTACTCGCGCGGACTTACAAGAGGTCCTACCACCAGTAATTCAATTACGAATTACCAGTAACCAGTACGAATTAGCCGACATCTTCAGGTCAGCTTAACTACACGGATAGTTCAATAATAGAAAGCGTAGTTTAGTAAGTGTAGCCGCAGTTGTTATCGTATTGATATTGAAAAAAAACAGTGGAATTAATTCTAACTTAAAAAAATAAATAAACTCTAGCTTGTTTTTAGCTTGTTATAACACGTGCGATCATATTTGTAGGGAAGCTGCAAATTTATCTTCGCACAGGGCAAAGTGCGGTGTAGCTGGTCTGAGTAATCCGTTTATTCGTTGGCCCGTGAGTTTTCTCGCTAATATTGCAGACGAGCTGCTACACATGAACACGAGCTTGCTCCACGTGGTTACTCCGCGGGACCTTGGTACCTAGCTGGCCTCTCAATGCAGCCAGTAATTACGAAATACAACAAATGACGGCTTTCATTTCCGATGCCTCAATGATCCACTAATTCACGCACAGAATTACTTTGAATAATATATTTTT